ATGCCTTCTGCTATAATTTTTTCCAATGTTAAAACATCACAGTGGCGCTGAATAAGACCAAAGCTGCATATTTTGGCCAGCCTTAAAACATCACAGTGGCAGAGAACATTATGGAGGCTGTTTATCTGAATAGCCAATCTTTTGGCCCATGTTTAAACATCACAGTGGCCTGAGAGAAACATAATGGAGGGCACATTTCTGAAGCTGGTTTATTAGCCAATTGCTCATGTTAGATCTTTCTTCTTCTTCTTCAGTCTTCATCTTCTTGTCACCGGCTGTGAAGGACGATTCAAGGCCACTGGCGGTAGTCACGATTACGGCTGTTCGTCCAAAGAATGGACTTTTGGCTTTTCGGAGAATCATCATCATGATCCTGTAGCAGTTTTGCAGTCCGCTCTCATCCGGTTTGCCTGGAAAGAAACCTCGGTCCTCTATTTGCTCATGTACTTTCATACTCCAAGAGTCACTTACTAGCGTGCCCATCTTCCGGACCCCCTGCCCCTCTCCTAGGTACCATGATTCTGCTACTTTTTTTTCGACTCATCGTGAGTGCTTGGAAAAAAAAATATTTCAGCTTCCGAGACAGGATGCTGTTTATTAGCCCCAATCTTCCTTCCATGTATCAGAATCTTTCAAGATGTCAGTATTTTCTCCTCTTCTTTGTCCAATATATTCTGAGAATCTTTCTATAGCATTTCAGCTTAAAAGCCCCTATTCTCTTTCTTAAGGCCTGAGAGATAGTCCATGACTCCCATCCATGTGTAGCCACAGAGAAGATGCATGCTCTCAAAATTCTAATTTTTATCTCCTTGCTGGTGCTTAACCACAAACTTCTAAGACTGTTCAATCTTTGCATTGCTATGGCCATCCTCCTTTTAGTTTCTGTCAAACAGTCTCCATTGCTGTTTATTATAGAGCCTAGATATTCAAAGTTTGTGACATTTTCAATTTTTTTCATCATTTATTGTTATTTTTGGGTGACAACCAGTTTTATATGTGAAGATTATTTTCGTTTTCTTTAAATTCAAGAACAGATTTTGATCTTCACTGGGCTTTTGGACAGACAATATTAAATTTTCTATTCATTTTACGCTGTTTGAAAGAAGAACTGTGTCATCTGCGTAGCGAAGTTCCGGAATAGGGTTGCCACCAATTTTGAGCGGATCATAACTGTCACGTCTGGTCATTTTTGACATTTCTCATTATATTTTCTGAGTATATATTGAATATGTATGGTGAGAGAATGATGCCCGTCTCTCTAGCGTAGTTGGCTAAACCGGACTGCGCAGTGACCGGATGACGAACTCCTTGTGATCCGGGTTCACTCCCGAGTGTAGGCAGAAAAGTCACATTTTCTCCCAGATTTACGGTACCTATAATGGAATCAAGGCCGAAGGGTTGCGATATCCATAGTACCGAGCCAAAGGGTTAACAACTCATAGTTTCTGGATATTAAAAAAAAAAAGAGAATGATCGGAAACACATTATGTAAATGACCTGCTGGAAGAAAATTTGTGAGCACTATGTTGGCACAACAAGATGATTATGATAAACTTGAAGAAATATCCTATGTGGCCACGTACCATTATTCTTTTCTCCTTTTGTGCCAGGCGCTCATACTTGCGTTGTACTAAAACAAGCTCTGTTTTTAAATGGGAGTTGTCAGAAACAGAAGTATCATGTATAAAAACCGATTTCCTTCGTCCGGCTTCAGCTGCTGATCCCATCTGTTCCATTTGGCGTAATTCCTGTAAGCAAATTGTACAGCCAGTAAACAGTCAAGCAATTTATAACTAGAATATTAAATCTGTATATAGGAGAGTTGTAAGAAAATTAATCAAGTAATCTAGGAAGGCTGCGTGGTCTCGAGGCATGGTGTCGGCCTCGAGTGCTAGAGGTTACTGGTTCAATCCCCAGAGAGGGGTGGAATTTTTTCACTTGGACTTGGACTTCTAGTAATTCCCCCTGGTCTCTGGGCAGTGAGATCAGAAGCCCGTATGCATTGTTGCACACGTAAAAAATCCACAGGTAGTTGGAAATGGAAAAGAGTAGCCTAACATGCGCTGCCCGGGCAAAATTTAGAGGTATAAATCTACCTACAGTATTACATGATCCTTGCCGGTGCTAGATAACAGAGCCTGTGCTTGAGTTAGAAGAAGAACGGAGCACTTATGGGTTACTACCCGTGTGCCATGATGTTCAAACCTCAAACCTCAATCAAGTAATCTATGAAGGTATGAATTTTAAATGCCCCCCTTAAGGCCTTTTTGTGAGGTGAAAATAAAAACAAAAACCAAAAAAAAAAAAAAAATTATTCAGCCCCCCACCATTTAAAGTGCAGTTTTTGATGTATTTGTGTGACAATGCAGTTTTTGCAGTATTTCTGTGTGGAAAATGCAGTTTTGCATGTATTTGTGTGGAAAATTGCGTTTTGATTATTTGGTGAATATGCAGTTTTTGCATGTATTTTGTGTTGCAGTATTTTGTGTGAAAATAATGCAGTTTTTGCATGTATTTTGTGTTGAAATGCAGTTTGCATGTTTTGTGCAGTGTGTATTTTGTGTGAAAAATGCAGTTTTTTGCATGTATTTTGTGTGAAATGCAGTTTTGTGCATGTATTTTTGCTGTGAAAATTGCAGTTTTGCATGTATTTTGTGGAGTGCCCCCATGCAGTGTTTAGCATGTATTTTGTGTGAAAAATGCAGTTTTTGCATGTATTTTGTGAAAAATGCAGTTTTTGCAGTATTTTGTGTGATGTATGTATGTTGTGAAAATGCAGTTTTTGCATGTATTTTGTGTGAAAATGCAGTTTTTGCATGTATTTTGTGTGAAAATGCAGTTTTTGCATGTATTTTGTGTGAAAATGCAGTTTTTGCATGTATTTTGTGTGAAAATGCAGTTTTTGCATGTATTTTGTGTGAAAATGCAGTCTTTGCATGTATTTTGTGTGAAAATGCAGTTTTTGCATGTATTGTGCGTCTGTGCATGCGTGCGTGCGCACGTGCGTGCGCGCGCATGCGTGTGTGATACGTCTATTAGTACCTCATTATACATTTTCACAACTGATCATGCTGGGTTTGTGTTGGTTAATCTTCTTCTTCTTCGCGTTCACCAGCTGTACACTCTGGTAGAAAGTTCTGGTTGTCCGTCCACTTCTGAACGGCAGTCCTGCTCCAGAGCCTGAGTGTTGCTTATACATCAGTTTTACAGATCTGATTCACTTGAAAGCAGACTGTTGGTTCCTTTGCTTTTAGGTAGGCAGTGGGTCGATTCTTGTTTTCCCCACAACGGGGCCCAGGAATCCACATGGGGATGTTGATTAATGAAAGATGTTATGCTCTCAGTGAAATGTTCATGTTTGTGATGTTTTCATGTTGCCTCCCCAAATCCACCACCCTGGACAAGTATTCCATCCTGCCGTGTCCTCGTGATATGCATCTCGTATAGAAGGAAAAATAGCCGTGAACGTCAAGAGTCGTAACTAAGAAATATCAGATAAAATTGTAATGGATAAGTCCCCTAGATGAATTAGAGCCCTTTAGAGCCAATTGCATTGTTGTCAACTCTCAAGTCTGGTGCCGGGCCGGGTTAGTCATAGTAATAATAGTGTCTGTCTGATAATCTGCATTCTCATCCCCTCAAAAATCAGCATGACCCAGCAGAGAAATAATTTTTAAAATGCATTATGTATTTATTGCTAAAGATAAAGTGGGCACCTTTGTAGTCAGTTTTGAGAATTTATGATCTGCTGCCGAATCCTCTTGCTTCCCTAGACAAGAAATGTGATGCTGTTACTCTCAAAGAACTCCAGATGCTCTGGTTTAAGTTTTGGAATTGACACAACCCTGAAAATAAGGAAACATATTATTAATCGATACAAAACATACGGACAAAAAAGTTGAGAAGCAGAAAGTGTGTAAGCAATGCCCGGCTCCCTAGCGAAGTTGGCTAAACCGGATTGCGCGGAGACCGGGTGACGAACTCCTTGTGGTCCGGGTTCAATCCCGGGAGTAGGCAGGAAAGCCACATTTCTCCCAGATTTACGGTATTTACAATGGAATCAAGGCCGAAAGGTTGCGATATCCATAATACCGAGCCTAAGGGTTAACAACTCATGGCTTCTGGATACTAAAACAAACAAACATATAACCCTAATCTTCCATAGGGTTCAGAACCAAACAACCAACCAACCATTTGTACAGCCCTAGTCTTTCACAGGGTTCTAAACCAAACAACCAACCAACCATTTGTACAGCCCTAGTCTTTCACAGGGTTCTAAACCAAACAACCAACCAACCATTTGTACAGCCCTAGTCTTTCACAGGGTTCTAAACCAAACAACCAACCAACCATTTGTACAACCCTAGTCTTTCACAGGGTTCTAAACCAAACAACCAACCAACCATTTGTACAACCCTAGTCTTTCACAGGGTTCTAAACCAAACAGCCAACCAACTATATGACTGCACAGCCTTGCAGGGGGTTACAACTAACCAATCAACAATATAACATGATATTTTTCCAAAGGACCTACGGTCAACCATGAAACTTTACTCTTCTGAAGGGGGTTGACAACTAACCAGCCAACTGTATAACCTCAGTTTTTTCCAGATGGTTTCACAACCAACCAACCATCCATTTTACAGCAATAAAAGATAGGAAAAAAAAACAAAGTTTATGTTTTATGATGGTGTGTATATTATTACAAGTGGCCCAGATAAGTATCTGGCACTTTATGTAATCATGTCATTTATTACTTTATTGTTTCATTTCTCAATGATGAATAATACTGTAAAGTCAGTTCATTTTCTGTGTTGTGTTTAGTTTTTCGTCATCGTTGTTGGCTGATGAAGATTAATCACAGCAACATCCTTTGTTTGTTTATTGTATTGTGTGCTGTAAAGCTTATATATACAATATGTTTTACTTTTTTTAAAACTCTTTCATAGCCCTACCTCATTTCAATATTATAGCATACTTGATATTTCTATAAGACATACCTGTAGTGGCAAAACTCAGGTGTCAGAGTGCCTGTTAACATTTTGGTCTCCGTAAAATCTTTGTCATTCAGCAGCCGATACTTGACTTTTATGCCTTTGGAATAGCGGGTCTTGTAGATTTCTGCAGAACGTATGCTTATCTGACAAAACAAAACTCAGAATAGTTCATATGTATTAATATAAGTATTGTTCCTTTATTTTAATTAAAATAATTGCTGCTCTTTCTTTTTCTTCACTTCCTCTTGACTGCTTTATGAGGCGAGGCAGATACAAAGCTCTGCTTCTTGCTCTTCTGATCGCCTTGACCGTAGACACATCAAATTGTTGTAGAGTCTTGCTGATGGTATCTTTCCATCATGTTCTTGATCTACCCTGTGCTCTACGCCCTTCTCTTCATTTGGCGTATGCCTTGTGCGACATGGCATCACAAGGCATTTTCTTTAAGTGGGTAAACTATTTAACTTGATGTATTTACATGTAATTTGGAATTTCATTCTGCGTCAACTTTTTCTCTTATAACATAATTCTGATTGTATTTCTTCTGGTCACTCCTGCAGCCTTCTCAGATATCCAGTGTCGATGGTTGCTAATTTTCCTTTCTGGTTTGTTGTGAATGACCATGTCTGGCACTGGTAGCATAGCATGGGAATGAATACGCTTTGTATGAGATGTTTCTTTGTGCTGATCTGAATTTTCTTAAGCTGTAAAAGGGAAGCTAGCTGTCCTTATACTTGATTCGCTTTACTGCATCAGATGTTAATTTTTTCATTCAATATAATTGCTACCATATCATAAAATGTCAGCATCTGTGGCGTTGCGAACCTGCTTCTGATGCTGGGGTGCTGTTTTCGATCCCATCTGCCGGCCTCGATCCCATCTGCTGGCCTTGCGCTGGTTTCAACAGTGGTATCGAGAAGCCGACCATCCAGAAAACAATGGCAAACTACTGGACGTAAATTTGCATAGAACAACAACATTAGTCAACAAATGCTGGGGTTGGTTCTGCAACGTCCTGTAAACGATACGCAACTAACTTTTAACATAACATAAATGTAATTCTCCATGTTTTGACTGACATATCTGATTGTTAACCAGCATCTGCTGTCCAGGGTAGTCTTCCCAGTTAATTTCATGGGATACAGCCTGATTGTTGTATCGTCATCTTTACAATTTCGTCCGCTGCTGGCGTCTTCCCAGTGGACCCATCTAGAGCAGACACGTGAATCCTTGCAGACTCCCAAGAGACAGCAGGGGCAGAACACAGGCATTCTACACCATCCAAGGAGCCTTGCCATAAATTCAGAGCTCATATATGATACCTTAGTACTGAGCTCACCCAAGGAACTGTCACATCCTGCTTTACCTCACTTGCGTGTATTAAGTCTTCCAGTCAACATTCACAATTCCTTGGCACCTTTCTGTCTTTATAGTCGATAGTGTTATATCGTGCTATGAGGAGGCATGGGAACCACCCGGGTAAAGAAACTTTCCACAACTGGAGCATGGAATATGAGGACCATTGTTGCTATCACATGTATTCAGTGTGTTTCTGCTCCAAGGCTGAGCTCTCCACCTCTCTGCAGTCATTTTTTAAACTCATCATTGATTCCCACTTGTCACTGGTCATTAAAACCATTTGATATTTGACAAGCTTGCCTAATCCACCTTAAAACCATATAATATTTTACAAAGCACAGAACCACATTAAAACCATTTATTTTTTGACAAAGCTTGTCTAATCTATTTCAAAAGCATAAAATATTAAAACCATTTACAAAGCAAATCCACCTTAAAGTCACCCTTAAAACAAACCACATTAAAACTTATTTTACAAAAACACAAGCCGCCACTAAAATCATTTTTAATATTTGACAAAAGCATGCTCGGTTCCACATTAAACCCACATTACAAACCATACAATAAAACATTTAATACAAAGCACAGAACCAAAATTTTAAAAAAGCAACCCATATAAAAACCATATTTTTACAAAGCACAGAACTACATTAAAACCAGTTAATATTTGACAAGGCTTACTTTAAAATGAAATGGCTTATCCAGCAGGTCCTTGGGGTCCTCCACAAAGTTGTCGTCGTGTAGTGTCAGCCCAGACTGGTCACAAGGGTTGATGCTGATCATCAGCTTCCCCTCCTCCAGACCTTTGTAGTCAGTCACCGAGAGCTCATCAGCAAAGTCGAGGGCATACAACAAGGACTGGAAAGTACATCAAAATTAGAGTAATGACAAGGACTGGAAAGAAATCAACATCAGAGTAATGACAAGGACAAAACAGTACATCGTCATCAGAGTAATGACTAAAGTACACCAAAATTAGAGTAATAACAAGGACTGGAAAGTATGTCAACATAAGTGTAAGAACAAAGACTGGAAAGTATGTCAAAATTAGAGTAATAACAAGGACTGGAAAATATGTCAACATTAGAGTAATAACAAGGACTGGAAAGAATGTCAACATTAGAGTAATAACAAGGACTGGAAAATATGTCAACATTAGAGTAATATTAAGGACTGGAAAGTATGTCAACATTAGAGTAATAACAAGGACTGGAAAGTATGTCAACATTAGAGTAATAACAAGGACTGGAAAATATGTCAACATTAGAGTAATATTAAGGACTGGAAAGTATGTCAACATTAGAGTAATAACAAGGACTGGAAAGTATGTCAACATTAGAGTTATAACAAGGACTGGAAAGTATGTCAACATTAGAGTAATAACTAAGCCTGAAAAGTACGTTAACGTGGGAGTAATAACTAGGACTGGAAAGAAACGAACATTAAAGTAATGATTAGGACTGGAAAGAACATCAGCATTAGAGTAACAACAAGGATTGGAAAGTACATCAACTTAGAGTAATGACAAGGACTGGTAAGAAACCAAAATTAAACTAATGACAAAGGCTGGAGGCACATCAACATTATAATAACAAGGACTGGAAAATACCTCAACATTAGAGTAACAGCAAGGACTGGAAACTACTTCAACATTAGAGTAACAGCAAGGACTGGAAAGTACTTCAACATTAGAGTAACAGCAAGGACTGGAAAGTACTTCAACATTAGAGTAACAGCAAGGACTGGAAAGTACTTAAACATTAGATTAACAGCAAGGACTGGAAATTACTTCAACATTAGAGTAACAGCAAGGACTGGAAAGTACTTCAACATTAGAGTAACAGCAAGGACTGGAAAGTACTTCAACATTAGAGTAACAGCAAGGACTGGAAAGTACTTCAACATTAGAGTAACAGCAAGGACTGGAAAGTACTTCAACATTAGAGTAACAGCAAGGACTGGAAACTACTTCAACATTAGAGTAACAGCAAGGATTGGAAACTACTTCAACATTAGAGTAACAGCAAGGACTGGAAAGTACTTCAACCCTTCACATTAGAGTAACAGCAAGGGACTGGAAAGTACTTCAACATTAGAGTAAACAGCAAGGACTGGAAAGTACTTAAAACATTAGATTAACAGCAAGGACTGGAAATTACTTCACACTTAGAGTAAACAGCAAGGACTGGAAAGTACTTCAACATTAGAGTAACAGCAAGGACTGGAAAGTACTTCAACATTAGAATAACAGCAAGGACAGGAAAGTACTTCAACATCAGAGTAACAGCAAGGACTGGAAAAAATAATTAACAATAGAGTAAAATAGTTGAACGACAGTGTGTGAGGAAAATGTTGAAAATAAAATTGTATATTGAAGGGGTGAAGAAATAAGAGAAATCTCTGGTCAACCATTGATAACAACAGTTAAAAGACAAAGAACTTGGCGCTATACTGCACACAATCCTGAGGAGAAAAAACACAGAACACCAAACAGGCACTAAAATAGGAAATAAAGGGACTGACGAGGTAAGGACGTCTAAGGAATTCAAACAATAAGCATTGATTAGAGAGGCCGGGGGGTGGGGGGTGGGGGAGGGGTGTGGCGGGGTGGGGGGGGGGGGGGGGGCATGCATCCTGCTATTTCTCTCATCTTCATGTCTGAATGTGAACACAATAAATAAACCTCACCTGAAGAAAGACGTTAGCTGTTCCAATAAGAACATCCTCCGCTGGCTCCCAGAATGGATCCTTCTCTTTTGGTATAGAAGACATGTTTTCTCCATCAATATATCTCTGGTACATTTCCTGTTGTAAAAGAGAAAGATTACAGTTGGGGGCTCAATAAAGTCTTGTTGAAGTGTGCAATAAAAATGACAATAATAATAATGATAATAATTCTAATAATTATTATTTGTATTATTAATTATTATGTGCTGAATTGCAACAAACATAATACCATATCTGAAATAATACGAAGTGTATAAACAACTACTTAAAAAGTAAACATCCATATATAGTTAGGGGGAGCATCACTTAGCCACTTTGCTTAGCGCAATCCCCTAAACATTATGGGGTTATGGGACAACATATTGATGCTAGTGGAAAACCTACAATTACCTTAAAATATGTAACGATTTCACGCAGATGCCAGCAACATAAACGCATTAAACATTTGGTTCAGTAAACAGCCACAATCCCTTTTTTTTTTTGTTTTGCAGAAAGCATTTTCTGCCTACCTAAGCAACCTGGTTAGTTAGTTAGTTAGTTAGTTAGTTAGTTAGTTAGTTAGTTAGTTAGTTAGTTAGTTAGTTAGTTAGTTAGTTAGTTAGTTAGTTGGGTTATCATCATTGCACTCCGGACATGTCCATAGGTGCTCAGATCCTCCCCTCAGTATGAATCCCAACGTCCGATGGCTAATAGTACCAGTTCTATGTTGATTAACAAGTCTTCTGACGTGTCCGGTGTGCGTCTCGTTTTTTGCTGTGCCGATCTTAATTCCCAAGTCTGCCATTCTGGCGAGTGATGTGGATTCACTGCCACCAAAGTCCTCTATCCTTCCCATTTCTCTGAGGGCATTGATAATATCAGCATGATCCATAGGCCGACCGTCGGTAGTGATAGCGGATCCAGCCAACCTGTCAGCTCTTTCATTTCCATCGACGCCTGCGTGTCCCCGGAACAAAAATAAAGGTGACTCCTCGCACAGTGGACTTCTGAATTGATTCAAGCCATTGTCTTCGCACTGAACCTGCCTGAACCCTCCGGATCATACTCATTGAATCACTGAGTATACACATGCGGGTGTATTTTTTGTGTTTCAAGCCAGGCAAACGCTTGCGTCACTGCCATCACCTCCATCGTCATGCTGCTGGTTGTCATGGAGAAGGCGCCATTGGCTTCTTTGACTGTTCTGCCCGCTGAGCGTGCTGTAAATGCCCATGCGCTTCTTCTTTGGCCTATAACTGATCCGTCTGTATAGATTAGTGCATCTGCTTCGTCTGAATTTTCACCGATGAGAGCGTTGACCTCTGCATTAACAGCAACAGGATTATCTTCTCTACATCGCCTGTTGAGTGTGACAATGCAGGAAAATGTACAAATAAACGCCTGAGGCACAGGTATCCATTCTGCACCAGGTATGATGTTGGTTAGGCTGCATATTTGCCTAATAACATCTTCTGCCCGACCTAGCCACGATTTTCCCCTCTTCAGTCTGTCGCCCTTTTCACTAAAAAGCGCTTGATGCAGTGGGTGTTTCTTATCAGCACATATTTTGAGGTATGCCCGAGCCCTCCACATCCTGATCCTTTGGTTCATTGTTGGAAAGTCAAGTAGATACCTCATTGCTCCACAGGATGTGTCTCTTGTACATCCCAAAATAATACGCATGGCTTCATTTTGCACCTTCTCGAGTCGTTTAATCTGGGTAGCACTGACAGTGAGGATGGCCAGAGCGTATTCAATGGGGGAAAGGACCAGACCATAGAATAGAAGCACCAGCAGTCTTTTTGCTCGATATTGGAAGCAGCCATAATCCTCATTGCAGATAGACCTTTGCGTGCTTTTGTTATCGCATGGTCAACGTGTTCCCTGAATGACAAGCTGCGATCGAACCTCACCCCGAGAAACGTCATAACGTTGGTTCTGATCAATACATTATCACGCATTTTCACTTCTGGTAGGTCCGACTTGACAATGTGATTGTTCAAAGAGAACCATGACACTGATGCCTTCGAGGGATTGACATAGGCATTGGAACCATCACACCAGGCGGCAATTCGATCGAGTTCTTTGTGCATTGTGCTGGCGATCTCCTGTCTATCACGCCCTCGTCGATAAATCAAAATGTCATCAGCAAATGACAAAGTCCTTCCCTTTCCATTCAACTGCTGCTCAGTGATCATCACCGTATAAACATTGAATAAGACTGGTGATAGCGGTGATCCCTGTGGCAAGCCTGGACATATCGTTTGCGGTTCTGAGGACCAGCTACCACATCTTAGTACAATCTTTCTCTGGAACAGGACCGCAGCAATCCAGCGGATCAGAATAGGATTGACTTCTAGTTTAAGCAGTAATTGCATTAAATAATCATATGGTACTTTTTTGTAGGCATCTTCTAAGTCCAACACTGCCGCACATGTCTCTTCTTTAATCTGAAATCCCTCGTACACATCGTAGGCGAAAACAGCAGCATTGGACCATGTCTCTTTCTTCAATCTGTACCCTCCAAGTGTTGATGGGAACTTATCATGTAGTTCCAAGTAGGTGGTCAATCTTTGTGCGACAATTTTTTCCAAAAGTTTGCCAACAGTATTCTGCATCGAGATGATTCTGTAGCCGCAGATCTTTGAGTGGTCTTTATTAGGCTTTGGTAGTGGGAACAAATAACTATGGAGCCATTCCTCTTGTATCTGGCCACTCTGGATGCTGATATTGAATTCCTTTGCCACGCTTTTCAAATCAGCATTCGACATCATCAGCATGTCATTGTATCGGATGCCGTCAGGACCTGGAGCAGTGCTGCGCGATTTCTTGAGGCAAGTTCTTAAGGTGTCTGCAGTGATTGTGAAATCAGTGCCTAGCTCAGTGTTCTCGCACAGCATCGACAGTTTCATCTTAACCCCTATTCTTGCAGCTTCGTCTTTTTGGTCAGTTTGCTCCAAGTAGCGCGCAAGGAGGGTTTTTCCTTTATCAGCATCAGTTCTCTGCCATATCAGGTCTGTACCCTGAAAATCAGGGATACCCCTTGGTCGTGCGGCGCCGTGCATGCTCCGTTGAAGGCGCCAGAATGTCACAAGAGATCCCTCGGAGCAAACGCTCTTGCAGAATTCATTCCATTTCGCTGTCTTGGCTTCTTTCGCAATTAACTTGAAAGCCACTGTCCGCTTGTTGACCTCATCTTTCAGACTGATCAGGCGTTCAGAAAGTGACGGATCAATTTTCCTTGCCTTTTGCCATGCCTTGACAGCGTTCCTTTTTTCTAGCCACGCTATGTTGACTACTTCATTCCACCATGGTGGCTGGGCCCATCTCTCCCGCCGTCTGCGATCTGCTCTTGTATTACGTCGTCTGATTTTGCTAATGGCATCTTGCCCTGTACGGTCATATATAAAAGCAGGCACATTGATTACATGACCTTTGTTGTTGCTCTTCTCCACCAGGACGACGCACGGAAAGTGATCACTGTCATGGTATCCCAGTGTGCTCCACCTGCATCCTGGTGCAATGGAGGGAGACACTAGGGCCAGGTCAATTACGCTGTCAGAATCCCCTTGTCGGGTTGCTATTCGGGTAACCTTTCCGTCGTTCAAGCATACTAGATCGGCAGACACTAGAGCATCCTCCAGGTCTTCCCCCTGTTTATTGGTGATTACATTGCCCCACTGGTTTCCTCTGGCGTTGAAATCTCCGCAGTAAAGGACTTTCTTTTCCTCAGTCTGGAGCAAACTCTGCCATTTCGCTGTATCCACCTTTCCATTGCAGGCGTACACATTGACAATCACAAACTGGGCCGGGCCCATCACTCTGACTGCGTGTACTTGTAGGTCGTCATTATCCCACTCAGACATGTCCACCTCAGACACCAGTATGTGGTCACGAACAAGAATGAGCTGTCCGAGGTGCCGTCTATTGTAGAAGGATTGGAAGCCCGCAATTTTAACCATCTCGTCACCGAGGTGTGTTTCCTGTAGGACAACAATGTCGTTGCTGTAGAAGAGCTTCTCGAAAATGGGTCGGCGTTGACTGAACGAGGCGCAGTTCCAGTAGAGAACGCGAACATACTTTAAGCTGAGTCTCTCACATTTCAGTCGCTTCCTGCAGGCGCCACCGTGCTTGCCTGTTCGCGTTCTCCTTGTCCGTCTACGGGTTGTTTTGAATTGGTAGATAGTCGCCATCGGACGTTGAATACACCCTGAGGGAAGTCTGAACTCACGTGCATGTACTCCATTGCACGGTTCAGACCCCATTCCGATGAAACTTTCACATTATACGTGAGCGAAAATAGTTAATTTGCGCCATTCGCCTCAACGGACGAAAAAGCGTGCCGCCATTGTGGCTGTTTTGTGGTGCTTGCCTGAATGGCCATGGTGACTTTTTTATGCCCAACCCATGTTCCATGATTTATTCAGAATAAAGTTGCACCTGTTGATGTCTTCTTCTTCTTCTTCTTTCGTTCGCCTGAAATAGGTTGTCTATATCAGCAATTTTGTCTCTTGTATAAATTTCACTGTTGTTGTTAATTCATTCAGTGGTCCATAAAGTTTACGTTCCACTGTTGTTCTTTCTGGCCAAAAGGTTTGCCTTAATGTGTCAAATTTGGTACAGTCCTGGAGTACATGCTCTGCTGTCTGGGGCACCTTTCCTGTTGATGTTTCTTTCATGCTCTTGTAAAAAGTTATTGGAATGGGTTTCAAATAAATGTTCATTATTGATGTTTTGTTGCCCGGCTCGCTAGCGCAGTTGGTTAAAACCCTCTGTGCGGAGACCGGGAGACGAACTCATTGTGGTCCGGGTTCATGCCCGAGGGTAGGTAGAAAAGCCACATTTCTTCTAGATTTATGGTATCTATCATGGAATCAAGGCCGAAGGGTTGCGATATCCATTGTACCGAGCCAAAGGGTTTACAACTCATGGTTTCTGGATTCTTAAAAAATTAAAAAAAAAAGATGTTTTGTTGTGTTTTGTACTGTACACTCACCTGAATAAGATATCTCCGATTCATGAATTTTCCATGTTCCCACAGCCAGGTGTTTCCATTCAGGAGGTCTTTCATCTTCACCATCACTCTGTGGATTACAATAAGAGGATTTCTAACAGCGATGCTTCAATGTAATGTTTAAAAGATATTCTCAGTGAAGATCATACAAAACTTTAATAATGAGAAGAAACACCAACGTGCCAAGCACTTCACTAATAAAATGAAATATCTCCGAGCAAAGATAAACACTGATGTATTTGCCCACACAGTTTTTAACTACTAGAGACTAATTCAGATTCAACTATGGAAACATACCCCCGCCATGAAATAAGCTGGTCATCCCCAGTAGCCGGTCATCCCCAGCAATTGCTCGAACACGTGAAGCTGAGCACCTGTATCGTGCATCAGCCGCTAGCTGAGCGAGGTCTCCTGCCTCTCGAACACCTGTGGGTTCAGTCCGGCTAAAATGAGCCTGATTTTGAGTACGCTGGCTTTTTTATACACAGTGGCCAGATTTCTTGGCATATGACAATCAACTAAATCAAGGTATTCGTCGTCACACGCTTACATTACAACCGTCATCCCCTTGAGGGATACCACTTTTAGTTATTTTATGCTCCACCCTGGCTTTTGCTTGAGGCCCTAAATATAGCCGGGCCTTAAATATGGCCTAACAGCTGAACAGGGTTTCAGGGACCCCTCCACAGGTGATCCTCTTTCAAATGGTGGCACTTTGCGTCACTGGGTGTTTATCGCTTATGTAATGTCCTGCTGGGGTACAAATTACCTATCCACCTACCTGAAAATTAAAATGGAGCACTTATGGGTATGTTCTGAGTCCCAAAATGTCAGTTCTGAACTCTTTCAGTCTCAACCATCACAGCAATGAATGATCAGGTATTGCCAATGAGTACCAAACCACGAACAATGTTATCTAGTGTTTAGCCTACTAATACTTTAAAACCTGGCTAGTTATTCTAAATTGAATTCCAGAGAAATTTGACTAAAAAGCTCAACAAAATGGGAAAAAGGAAAACGTGCACAAAACAACACAACGTAACGTTTCGGCCAGGCAGCCTTTTTCAAACACAAGTGGACTACACAAAAGAGGAATGGAGAGTAAATAAACCAAACATGCACAGTGACAAACAAAAACGTGGGTCAGGCGCAGTCGATTTGAAAATCCAAAAATGGTGAAACTATGGGAGTACTCTCCATTCCTCTTTTGTGTAGTCCACTTGTGTTTGAAAAAGGCTGCCTGGCCGAAACGTTACGTTGTGTTGTTTTGTGCACGTTTTCCTTTTTCCCATTTTGTTGAGCTTTTTAGTCAAATTTCTCTGGAATTCATTGTATTAGCTTGACTGCAGTCACCCCCATAGTTTCACTAGTTATTCTAATAACCCTTAGTAGCTGTGTTGCTTCATAACTAAAGCTCTTGCACATCATTTCTGTTCAGTGAGACTATCATTAACTTGAAATTTTTTAGCTTAATGTTATGGTAATTTAAGAGTTAACAACTTAACTGAAAGCTCAGCTCAGCCAGATAAACAGAAAATCCAATCAGTCACTTACTGAGCCCCGCTGTCAGATTTCCCACTGTTGTTGACCTGTATCGCTGAAGGAACTAAAACCACTTCAAAAGACTTGTGTTTGTTCAGTTCTTCAGACACAGCATTCACCTCTGACACCATGGGGAGGACTTCCAGTATCTGCTCCTGGACTATCTGTTGTTCTAGGAAGAAGAGTTGCCAACTTCAGAGACGTCTCAACAGGATCATTGTCAAAAACAACACTAGTGAGATTATCTTATACAGTCAGTATTGAAGTATGGATATGAATCATTGACAGTCAGCAGATTGGTGATAAATTATGTGAAAAAGAGGTGTTGGTTTAAAGAAAAAATGATTGAAAAACTCATAATAAATGAAACATCTGAAACATAAATTTTTCCAATTTAATGTGTGTGTATGCCTGCGTGCGTGCGCGCATGCGTGTGTGTAAAAAATGTGGACTGACAAATTTTTAGTCTTACCTTTTGTGAGCCCTGCTAAACCTATAGCAAAACCTTTGGCCTCAGCCACTTCCTTCTGTGCATATTCCCATGTGATTTCTTTAGGGGTGTCTTCGGGTGCTTTTGGCTTCAAGGGGTTGACAAAATAATACACATGGTTTGACCCTGAAAGTAACGATGAAAATGTAATTTTATCTGCTTTCTCTAATTCTTGTCTTTGCTCTGTATTTTTTTTTTTCTCAGCATAGTGTCTTCAGTTCTCTCTGCCCTTTTTTTTAAATGTCTGAGTTTATACCCACACCAAAAGTGTCCTCCTCTTCTTCTTCTTGTCCTACTTCTTCTTCTTCTTGTCCTACTTCTTCTTCTTCTTGTCCTACTTCTTCTTCTTCTTGTCCTACTTCTTCTTATTCTTGTCCTACTTCTTCTTCTTCTTGTCATACTTCTTCTTCTTCTTGTCCTACTTCTTCTTCTTCTTGTCCTACTTCTTCTTCTTCTTGTCCTACTTCTTCTTCTTCTTGTCCTACTTCTTCTTCTTCTTGTCCTACTTCTTCTTCTTCTTGTCCTACTTCTTCTTCTTCTTGTCCTACTTCTTCTTCTTCTTGTCCTACTTCTTCTTCTTCTTGTCCTACTTCTTCTTCTTCTTGTCCTACTTCTTCTTCTTCTTGTCCTACTTCTTCTTCTTCTTGTCCTACTTCTTCTTCTTCTTGTCCTACTTCTTCTTCTTCTTGTCCTACTTCTTCTTCTTCTTGTCCTACTTCTTCTTCTTCTTGTCCTACTTCTTCTTCTTCTTGTCTTACTTCTTCTTCTTCTTGTCCTACTTCTTCTTTTTCTCTTCCACAGTTTACCTCGATCAAGGTGGTGGTTTGGGGGGGGGGGGGGGGGGGGGGGGGGGGGGGGTGTGGCGCGAGGGTTGTAAGGATCGTGTGTGCGCATTTTCTAATGCATTGTACAAGTTGGTGTTCATTTCTTTTAGGCTGCTCTTGCATGGTCTTCCCCTTGCTCTGTGTTCATTACATTTCTTTAGTGTGGCTTTCTGTGGCAGTTGGTACCAGGGCATTCTCGTCAGGTGGCCAGACCATCTAACTTGTTGTTCTTTAATGATTTGTATGATTGGTTTCAGTCTTAGTCTTCTTCTAATTTCTTAATTCTTGATTTTTATCTCTTCTTGTCACACCGGCAGCTCTCCTAAGACATCTCATCTTTGTTGTTATGATCTTTTACTCATTAGTTTAAGTAAGGGTCCATGTTTGGCACTAGTAGCACAATAAGGAGTCTTCATATTTTGATAACTGTTAAAATTATGGTACATTCAATCATTAACTTTAAAAATGAACTATAAAATGGTGAATAAACTTCACAACACAAAACAAAAGTTAGGAAAGATATAAAACCAAATAAAAAATAGGTAATTGAGCTTCACAATATAACAAACACAAACAAAATGTGAACATCGTGGTTTTAGAACGTTCATCAGCACGTACATAAATGAAACAAAACAACATAAATACACAGAAACAGTTAACTGACACATTCAGATGCAGCCACATTGATGTTTTGCCAGTGGAATGAAGAAACACGTTGGGCCCGAGAATAAATATTTGTGAAATGCCAAGGGCTGTAACTCGGGAATCTTAGATAAAACTGTGTTGACAGTTTAGTCTCCTTGGTGTTAAAGTGCCCAAGGTGAAATTAAAGCCAAAATAATAAATACAAGTTAGAGTAAACTTACCAAATATAACCCTGTCCATGTGCTCAAGAGTTCTGGATCCAGTTATTGCAATACCATTTACCCGAATCTTGGCTCCATCAGAGCCAGGCTTGATTACTATGTCTCCATTTTCTACTGTTAGAACCGCATGATTTTTCTGAATGCTGTGGAGAGGGTAAATGTATTATTTATTTCATTCTGCAAGAGCCATAATCAAAATGTCTTTTTCTTTTCAAAGTCCACGCCATGTGGCACTGGTAGTCATGTTTATCCACAACCTCCTGTCTTGTGTACATTCAGTCAACTCTAACACAGATGATATTGCATGCCATTATGTCAAAATGTCCAGCATCTGTTTTCTCGGCCTTTCTCTGCCTCTCCTTCCTTCCATCTTTCCTACTGCCACGATGTACTCCAGTTTTGTTCTTTTTATCATATGACCAAAGAATGTAGATTGTCTCTTTCTTATTTAGGCAATCAGTTCTCTTTGTGAGTCAGTTTCTTGCAAGACATCTTCATTACATTATATAGACAGACATCTAGTTTGATGGATATATATTTGTGGTAGTTAAGATGACAAGTAGATAATTAACAGACATATGAATGGATGGACAGATGGATGGATGGATAATTTTTGGTAAATAAAATTAAATGTAAGTGAATTACAGACATGTGGATGGATGGATGGATAGATAGATAAATGGATGAATGATTTTGATAGACAAGATGACAGGTAGATAATTATGTAACAGACTGACTGACAGACAGATACATTAATGGACATATGATTTTTATACGCATGATGATGGGTAGGTAGGTAGGTAGGCAGACAGGTAATTATTCAAGTAGGTAGGTAGGTAGGTAGATATGTAGGTAGGTAGTTAGATAGGCAGGTAGATATGTAGGTAGGTAGTTAGATAGGCAGGTAGATATGTAGGTAGGTAGTTAGATAGGTAGGTAGAAGTGTAGGTAGGTAGTTAGATAGGTAGGTAGATATGTAGGTAGGTAGTTAGATAGGTAGGTAGATATGTAGGTAGGTATGTAGATATTTAGGTAGGTAGATAGTTAGGTAGGTAGATATGTAGGTAGGCAGGCACACAGACAGATAATTATGTAAGTAGGTAGGTAGATAGTTAGGTAGGTAGATAGGTAGTTAGTTAGATAGGTAGGTAGATATGTAGGTAGGTAGTTAGATAGGTAGTAGATATGTAAGTAGGCAGGCAGGCAGACAGGTAATTATGTAGGTAGGTAGGTAGTTAGTTAGATAGGTAGGTAGGTAGTTAGATAGGTAGGTATATATGTAGTTAGGTAGTTAGACAGGTAGGTAGAAATGTAGGTAGGTAGTTGGGTAGGTAGATATATAGGTAGCTATGTAGTTAGGTAGGTAGTTAGGTAGGTAGGTAGGCAGTCAGGCAGACAAATGGAATACCCATACAGCTAACAAATATCCCCGTACCTTAAACCATTTAAAACAATGTCAGGGTTGCCATTTTTGTTACCAATAACTGTCTTCTGCCCCTTCAAGAAGTGGAAGACAACTCCAGACAACATGGGATCTTCATTGAGGTTAATTAGATGAGGTTCTTTGTTCTTTCTAACAACTTCTTGGTGTTCTTCCTTAGCAAAGGCATCTGTCTCGTTTCTAGCTGCCGACAGCTGAAAAGGTAGCATGGAGGATTCGTTGTGTCAACTTTTTCAGTGTGAAATAATTCACCATAATTGTGTGTGTGCGCGAGTGCGTGCGTGTGTGCATGCGTGTGTGTGTATGAGTGAGTGGGTTTGGGTTGGTGTGTGTGTGTGTGTGTGTGTGTGTGAGTTAGGACCTATACGAATTACGACCATCTAGATTAGCTGCATCCCAATGTCGGACACAATTTTTTTAAGCCCCTCCCTGGCAGTTGCTGGGGAGCTAAAATAACCCCATGAGGTTGAATGAGGTTTCTAAGACCTGTCATCCAAATTGTGGCACCAGGTGTTTATTGCTTGTTGTGCAGTCCTGGTGGGTTTGAGTGTCACTCATCTACATTCCTTTTCTTGTTCTTTAATAAATTTGTCCCTTGTGTTCTCATCATTTATCAAAAAAAAAAAAAAAAAACATCTTCGCTACTTCCACAAATTTTTTCGCTAATAGGATAACCATCCAGGATTCACTTCCGTATATCATCATAGGATTTATATAGCTCTAAAGAACTTACATCCCTATGCTAAAAGACAAAGAGAGATTGCATAGAATATTTTTTTCACTTTCAAAATGCGGTATTTGTTTGAGCTGTTCTACATTAAACTTCTCTTCTACATCTTCCATCTGCTATTATCAGGGTACTGAAGTACTGAAACATATCAACGTGTTCCAGACTTGTGCCATTTATTTTGCTGTTGTACTGGGGGGAAAAGGAAGGGGGGGGGGGGGGTCATACTTTCTTTGTAATTACTATCGCTATTATTGTTGGTCAGCGTCTGTGGCTTAGGCATTGCGAACATGCTTTGTAATGCCGGGGTGCTGGGTTCGATCCCAGCTGCGGGCCTTGAGCCTTGCGTTGGTTTCGACAGCGGTATCGAGCAGCCGACCGCCCAGAAAGTACTGCCAAACTACTAAACGTACACTTGCCTAGAAAAACCACAACAGCCAAAAATAATGCTGGGGTTGGTTCTGCAACGTCCTGTAAAGGAAACGCAACTAACTATTATTGTTGGCACTGCTCTCACAGAAGAATATTGCAACATACTGTGAATACTTTCGAAAGAAAAATCCTGTCTTTTTAGAAGTCAAGAAGAAATAAACTACTTTAAATATCAATAACATTTATCATTACACAGTTTATGACTCAAAGAATCTGCATTTCTCAGTATATTAAATATTTATCCTCTCCGTGTGGGTTCGGGGGATCTATTATAGGGAAAACAAGAATAGACCAACTGCCTACCCAAAAGCATGTTGTAAAAGTCGACTAACTGGGAGCTTTCTTCGAGGTCGCAGTACGTCTGCCTGAAAGGCAAGGAACCAGTAGTCTGCATACAAATGAGTTAGATTTGTAAAATGGATGCACACGCACCACTCAGCTTCTGGAACAGGACTGTAGTCCAGAAGTGGATGAACAACCAGAACTTTCCGCCACAGTTTACAGCTGGTGAACACGCAGAAGAAGAAGAAATGTTTATCCATGTTAATGCCAAATTGGTCCTCAAAAACCAGAGCGAAATTTAAAAAAAAAAAAAGCTTTAATCTTGATTCAAGCATTCTATTGATTTTGTTCAAAATCAGACAAGAGAGACGACTCTAGGAAATCACAAGACCTCCGCAGCAGTAAGAAGATCTATGAAAGAGTTGTCCTGGCAGAAATTCACCATTATAAATTCCATTTTCGGTCTTCTGTTACAAAGTTATTTCAGCTCTTATATTTTCATTACACAATTAAAAAGAAATCTAGATTTGTGGATATACAGAAGAAAATGCTGTATTTCAGTGAAACAAAAAAAAAGTGGTAAAATATATAGGTTTTGAAGAGTTGCAATCAAAACAGAATTGCTGAAATAAATAAAAGGGACAGTTGAAATATTTTGGCCGCATTGAAAGACATAACACTCTTGTAAAAACCAAACTGGAAGTAATTGTCAAAGGCACCATAGCATGCCAGAAGAAGACAATGATAGAATTTAGAGGACAACATATATAAACAAAAAGTAGTCGTCTGAAAGAGTGTACAGCCAAGACAAATTACATGGTATGTTGGAAATCCATTGCAGCAGACCTTTACTGTGGACAGTGCCTAACTGCGTGACTGAATGATTGATTGATCCATATATCTGAAGATGGGAATTGAACCTGTCGCCGCCAAATGTTGTGATGGACAAACAACAAACAACACAGACGTCTACTGTGACAAACTATCTGAATATACTAGTGGAACTGCCACCAGACTGCTTAAAATGTATGTTAACAATTATCTCACATAAGTTATTAGTTTTACTTCTGCTCACCTTTTCGTCCCAAGACTTTTCACTGTCACCAATCAGTTGTTGATTGGCCATTAATTGGGCTCTTATTTTCTCTTCCATGTCTTTTCTCATCGCCTCCATTTCTGTGTAGAAAATCAATATCTAGATAGATATATGTTTTATCTCACAAACTGAACAATGTTAAATAATTTGTAACACACTGCATGCCAAGAGTCAATTGTTATTTCTGCTTTTGTTTTTCCCTCTTCCTTGTCTTCTTCTTCTTGTCCTCCTCTTGCTTCTTCTACTTCTTCTTCTCCTTCTTCTTCTTCTTCCTTTTCTTCTTCTTCTTCTTCCTTTTCTTTTTCTTCTTCTTCTTCTTCTTCTTCTTCTTCTTCTTCTTCTTTCTTCTTCTTCTTCTTCTTCTTCTAGTTTTCTTTATCATCATCATCATCTTCTTCTTTTCTTCTTTACCTTTTCCTCCTTCTCCTTTTCTTCTTCTTTACCCTGTTGATCCTCAACATCACCAGTTGCCAATAAGGTTTGCCTCCTAGCTTGCTCAACAAATCTTGATGCCTGACAGCACATTTGTCTAATCAGTCTGCAATCTTCATGTTTCTTCAAGAACTGCTTTATTTTTGTCCTTTGAGAGCATTCTTTGTATTCTGGTTAAAAACAACCATTTCTGACACTATATGTTTTTTGTATTGTTTACTGATCACATAAGTACAACAGTACAGCCTCTATATGATTACAACAAAGTTTCACATCCTTTACAGGAGCTCACAAACAAATCCCAGACTGTGTTGGTTGATTTCCTCTCTGGGTTCCGGGGCCTCATTTTGTGGAAAAAATTATATACTATCTGCCCCCCCCCCCTCTCAAACAAGCATGTCGTAAAAGTGGACTAATGATGGATGATTCTTTCAATGTCGGAGTACATCTGTCTGAGAGGCAAGGAACCAACAGTCTCCACACACAAATCCAGATCCGTTAAATACATGTGCGCACAAAACTCAAATTCTGGGAGAAGACTTAAGTCCAGAAGTGGACGAACAACCAGAACTTTTTCGCTGGAGTTTACAGCCGGTGAACACGGAGAAGAATACGAAATTGGCTGTTTAAGGTTTTAGTGGAAATCTGTACGTAGCTTGTTGTTGCCTCCTGAACGGTATGATGCTCATATCACTGGCAATTCCAACATTAAGCAGCCTGTTGCCAAATCACCTGCAGCTGAATCAACATTGTATTTTATAATTATGAAACTGTGTTCACAATCCCTACGCTAACGAAGGTGAAAAATGTTTTTTCTTTAACATTATGTTAATTGAGAGACATAAAGATAATTACCAAACAGGCACTGAAAAAGGAAATGAATCTGAGGAAAACGAAAACATCTAAGAGAAACCCAAAGGTGAACGTTGATGAGTTGAATGTTGAATTAAGAATCGACATCACAGAACTCGGGATACTCCCATAAGTGCTCCGTCCCCATCTTCAGCAGCAAGCAAAGAGTTCAAGTTCCGATGGCACCAGTAACAGTCTGATTGCATATCCGTCTCGCCCTTCCCTTAAGCGTTGAGCGTCAGCCAGATCCCCTTGTAAAGAAACGTTAATAAAAGAAGCCGACAATGTTGGATTGGATTCCATCCAGCATGCTGAAGTGATTGCACAAGATAGCACGGATTGGAGAAATACTGTGAGCCCTATGTGACTTAGAATGACACAAATCAGAACAGTGAATGAATAATATGTTTTTGTTCGACGATGACAGACAATAATGAATAGACAGAACAGTTCAAAGTAAGTAAGTAAAGGTCCCTTTTCCACGCCTTTAGACATTTTGGGAATATAGGGCTAGACCTATATTTTATGGACCAATCGGCACTTGGTGGGTGATGTGGTCAGCATCACGCCAACCGCATTTACTTCCCAGGACTGTACCTGATACCCATTCAAGGCTGGGTCAACCTGGGAGTCAAAATCATTTTTTTAAATTTAAAATGTCTGGGTCCGCCAGGACGCAAACCCAAGACTTTTCGATCCACAGAATCTTAATAAAAGATGTTCATAATACCTTCAGGGCTCATACTTTTTCCTTCCATTTGTGCCACTCCGCCTGCATCAAGGGCTTTCCGTAACTTTTCGTTTTCTTCCTACAAAAGATGTGAAGAACTTCAGGATTTGTTTAAATGCCAAAAATAAAAAGAGAACAACCACAGACTGACAGACAGATGTGGTTAAAATCAAATGTGTTGGTCGCAAGGAGCAAAGAAAGCTTTGGTGAATACAGATACAATGTATATAGGATAACGGCTTTTTTCATCTTCTTCTTCTTAAAGTCCATGCTGTGTGGCGTTGGTGGTCATGTCTATCCACAACCTTCTGTCTTGTGTATTTTTATTCAACTCTGATACAGATGATCTACCATGTCGTTATGTCAAACTGTCCAGCATCTGTTCTCTCAGTCTCCCTCTGCCTCCCCTCCCCTCCAACTTTCCTACTGTCATGATGTAATCCAGTTTTCTCCATCTCATCACATGAGCAAAGGCTTCTTTTTTTTTTTTTTTTTTTTTGTTGCTAGAAAAAAGAAGAATAAAGGTATTTACAACAAGGAGTTAAAAAAAAAAAAAAAGCGCCAGTGCTCACCATAAAGGGAAAATTACAATAGCACTGCTAAATGTGGCCTGATTAAAGGTGCCGGTACTGAGCACCGCCAGAAAAAGAGCCCTGCATAAGATACAATCACAGATATCCTAGATACAGGCAGGAGCAGAAAAAAAGCAACAGCAGAAGGAGAGGAGAGGGAGAAAGACAAACAATAGGAAAAGAGTAGGAAGAGAGAGAAGAAGATAAGTAATAGTAGCAGCAGTGGTAGTGATGGTAGTGGTAATAATAGTAGTTGTTGTAGTAGAGGTGGTGGTATTAGATGTAGTAGTGGTGTTGGTGGTATTAGTAGTTCTAGTAGTTGTAATAGCAGCAATAATAGCAGTGGGGTGGTAGTAGGAGTAGCAGCAGTGATGGTGGTGGTGGTGGTGGTGGTAGTAGTAGTAGTAGTGGTGGTCTCAACATCAGTAGAAATAGCAGCATCATCGGTAATATTAACACTGTGGTAGTAACACCAGTAGTAGTAGCAGCAGCAGTAGTAGTCACAACATCAGTAGAAATAGCAGCATCATCGGTAATATTAACACTGTGGTAGTAACAGCAGTAGTAGTAGCAGCAGTAGAAGTAGTGGTGGCGGTTTCAAACTGTCACCTTAAGCTCTCTAAGCATTTTATCAAGGGGGTTTTCATTGATAACAGCTTTGTTCTTGATCTTCTTGGCTCTGTCGGCATACCGGAGAGTGGACAGTGTCTCATCGTAGTTGATGTCTGCTGGCGACAGTGCTGCAATCATCACAGTTTTGCTGCCAGGTAGGATAAGTCATTTTAAATGTCAACAACTTGATTCTTTTTTATAACTGCTCGTGGGTAAAATGGTGAAGATTATATAGATGGCACGAAGATGAGATGAAATGATGTCCTTTGATATTATAGTTATCTGGTATATTAATGTTGTGATGATTTGATGTAATGGTGAGATGATGCTATAAAAAATAATGATACTGATTTAATATTGATTCAAATTAATGGCGATTTTGTGATTTATCAAATTAATATTATTGATATAATAATGATTTGTGTAATTATCAAATGTGAAACTGTAGTTTCATGTTTTGATGTGAGGAAATTGTGATAGGGTATTATGTGGGTTTATTGTTATTATTGATGAATTATTAAGTTATTGTTATGAAATGTCGCAGAGCCCTATATAGGGAATTACCCCCCCCCCCCTTTTTCACCCCCACAGTGGCTTACTGCACCAATTTAGTTTAAAAGAAATTTTTCAGAGCACAATATCTATATAATAATAATCTGGATTAATTATTTAGTACAATGATGTTTTGATTTCGATTATAATTTGATTGAATGATGGCTAGATTGAAGTAAAGCAAGAAATGGAACAAAAGAATAGTGAGCCTAGAGACAAATATGAACATTTTTACATATGACAACTTGGTTAGTTCGACGTTAGACTGCCCAGACCCTGCCCATATACACACTAGCTCACTTCTGATTGGTTGTTCCTGAGCCACGTGGTCTTCGCACAAGGTTGCAGGGGTGTTCCGCAAAGCCGTTGAAATCGCGTTTTGAATATTTCAACACGCCAGCACTTTTAACACTTTAAAAACAGGGAGAAACTGGGTCTAACACAACTTCCCTTGAGATTGCTGCAGCCTTTGTCCCAGGCAAGCTCTTTCTCGGAATGAAAACGTAAATGCAAGACATCGCAGAAACCAAACAACAGAGAGGGACACACCCGTAACCTTCAGTAAAGTGGACCAGCCCAACAAAAAAATTTAGGGAGATTTAATCGAACTAACCGACAACTTTTATACTGGTCAATTATATTTTGCTTCTTCTTCACCAAGTGTTTGTAGGTCTGCCTGGATATTATCTCTCCGCCGTTTTCTTGCTCCTTCTCGCTGTCTCTTCCTTCTGTAAACAGTTTTCACCTCACTGTCATTTGTTGTTCTCTCAATATGCCCCAGCCATTTTAGTGTATCAGCCCTCATGATAACAGTGATCAATGGTGATTTAAAAGATTATGCATGTCGTTGTTGCTTCTCGCTCTCTGTTTTCCTGCTGTTTGCATCTTTGATGGGTCCATTGACTCGTCATAAGACAACCCTCATCAGAACGACAACTTACACAATGGTAAATGATATGAATCCGAGAAACATACATATACCTGTTGCCTCCAAGTGCATTCTGCAGAAGTTTTGTCAGTACTGAATCTCTGTAAGGCACAACAACCTTTTTCTTATCCGAAGCATCAGCCAGAGCCTAACAATGAAGTTTAAAAAACTGAGAATTTGGCAACAGGTTTTAAACATTTCAGTTCAAATTAGTTAAAACGGAAATATGATAAATGATGCTACACGTTAATGGTGTGTAAATTAGTCTGATTTGTGAAGAATCATTTTTATAGCACTGAAACATCAGTAAGTACTCTGGTATGAATAGTTTGCATTGCTTGAAAAGACTCAGATTCCTAGGACAAGGCGTGTGCTATAGAGGCTATTTATTTTCTGGCCGTGGCTGCAACTTAGTCGAGGACTTGTCGTGAATGGTCAGGAATAGTTTTAATCTACTCATCGCCCAGCTATTCGTCGAATGAAGTTGATTTTCAGCGATGACGCCTGGTCTCGCAGTGTGTTTAAGAAGGCATGCACTTATGGTTTGCCAGATCAAATCGTGTGTGTTTTGCTGACTGGGGACACTTTGTATGGCTACGGCATTCACTTGAAGTATCCAGCGTATCTGACCCAGTTTGTGTCTGGAATCACTGGCATAGGCGGTTGAGCAATTATAGGGCCAAGCTCGTTTGCTGTGATGCGGGAACCGTAATGACTAACTAACTAACTCAGGTCGGGAACACATCCTGGATATTTTTCCTAGGATACTTCCGTGTGTGGGGGTAATCAGCAGGCTGATAGATTGGCTGCTGCCGTGACTGCTTAGTGAGCTCCTTTATGAAAAAGTGGACGTGGTGAAGATATTCTGGGATCAAGTGGTCAGTGCAAGAGAACGGACAGAGTATACTTTATGAAAAAGTGGACGTGGTGAAGATATTCTGGGATCAAGTGGTCAGTGCAAGAGAACGGACAGAGTATAACATATGGTAAACTGATTTAAACAGAGGATCGTGGCAGTTTTCAACACGCAGGGGAAAAGATCGACAGGTGACATCGTCCCTATTGGAAATCCATTGGCTACCAAGGAAGGGGGCACAGAATTTGTGGGAATACCCGGAGTGTAGTGATGTCAACTTCTGATTTGTTCATTCATTCATTTATTCCGTCTTTAGGAAATTTGTGGAGGAAAAAAAAACAACAACTCTAAATTAACATTTTTTTTTTTACATTTCTAATGTCAAATCAGTACTCATGAACAGTGAGGAAACATGAAGAACAGCTTTTAAAAAAGTCACCAATACACTAAAAACATTCATTAGCTGGTGCATACGCAGAATAGAGGGAATTTAATGGTATGATAGAATCGCTAATGTTGTGCTTTGGGAGAGAAACTAAACAAGTTCCAGTGGACCAAGAAGAAACGCTGGCTTTGGATAGGACATACGTTGAGAAAACCGGATAACAATATGACTAGAATGTCGTTACACTGGAACCCACAAGAGCATAGAAATAAAAGAAGACAAAAAAAAAAACACACACACATGGAAAACGGAGCTAGAGAGTAAAGTTAAAACGGTAGGAAGGACATAGTGATCCACTGCTTGATGGGTATCAATGGCTATTGTCATTTCGTGCCAATGTAAAAGGTCTTTAACGTCATCAATCCATTTATCCTAGGGCGACCTCTTGATTTCTCATTAGATCGTTTCCTGTGTAGCGCCTGAATTGTTAAATGTTCTAGTTGCATACTAATGAGATAAACGATTATTATGGCCTAAAGAGAATGAGGCACCTAGGTGGAAACCAGAGGGTCTGGCCGGCTGACTACACTCACAGGAAAGGCAAGATGGACATATAACCAGATTGTGACCAGTACCAACATTACTGGAACTCTGCGCTGGCTGCTGAAGATGAGGACGGAACCCGCATGGAAATGCCCCGAGTGCTGTGATGTCAATTCTTGACTAAACTCAACTCAGCTAAGGAAATAACCAAACTATTTGGATTTTTTTTTTTTTTTTTAGATAGACATAAAGTAAAGGAGCATCTTTCACGTTTCCAGGCGTATTGGGTGTTTAGTGCTGTACCTGTATTTTATAGACCAATCGGCAGTTGGTCGGGGATATGGTCAACATCACGCCGACCGCCTTTACTCCCCAGGACTTTACATAGTACCCACTTTAGGCTGGGTCACCCTGGAAGCCAAGGTCATTTTTTTTAAAACCGGTTCCGTTCGGACTCGAACCACACGACCTTCTGCTTCGCAGGCGAGCAGTTAAACATATTTGACTTACAGAAATCACATTGCCCAAAGCCGACAGGGATCTGTTGATGTTGGCTCCCTCCTTTAATCGATCCCCTGTGGCTCCAGTAGAGTCAGCTCGCTCAGACCCCGCCAGGTCCACCAGGTTCATGGTGCTACTGATCTTAGTCTCGTCTCCATCTGAGTTCTTGATGATCTGGTCAAAGACGATTGTGACCACGGTGTGAGCCCGACTGCTGGTTGCATTCATGTTTGTTGAAGCGACCGTTCTGTTTGAGGTACCTGAGTGGAGACACAACTGTGCACTTTCACAGCTGTTAATATGTACATGTTCTATTCAAGAGAAATTAAAAGTGTCCCAAACGTTATTAAATTGTACACTACAACATCCAGCTTAAGAATGGAGGTAGAGGCGGTCACTGCAGCTTTCCGCTGGCTAGAGAACACGACACACACACACACATCATGATTGTAACTGATTCAGAAAGCATGCTGAGGAAGATCAGAACATATATGCTTCATGCAGTGTGACATGCTTCGCTGCAGAGGACACGGCGGAGGAGCATTGTCTGGACTTTTTCACCGGGGTACGCCGGTGTGTTGGGAAATGAACAGGCGGACAGACTGGCTGGCTCTGCACAACTTTGTGGAATACTGATATGTGATAAGGCAGACGTAGTTATTGCCTTGTGGGAGAGCATGTACAGTTCAAATGAGCAGATGGATCACCATAGTCTGGTGAGATTGATGCAGCGGGGAGTGACGAGAGGTTCTGGCAGACGTTCAAGGCTCAGAGGAAAGGCAAGACGGACATTTAATCAGAATGCTACTGGTAGCATTAGTATCGGAACTCTTCGCTGGTTGCTGAAGATGAGAACGGAGCGCTTATGGAAATGCCCCGAATGCTATGATGTCGGTTCTTGAATCAAATCAAATCAAATCAAAGCGTACACTGTAATAGTGATTAGACGTTACGTGTTCTGTTGAATAGAAATCAAAAGAGTAAGATTCCTTCGAAGTCGGAATGCATCTGCCTGAGAGGCAAGGAACCAACAGTTTACGCACAAATGTGTCAGAACTGTCAAACGGATGCACGAGCAACACACAGGTTCTAGAACAGGACTACAGTCCAGAAGTGGACGAACAACCAGAACTCTCCACCAGAGTTTACAGCTGGTAAACGCAAAGAAGAAGAAGAAAAGTGTAAGAATGATCTGTTCCAAAAGTTGTTTAATTCAAAATTAACTGTCAAATGAGGATCAGAAATTACATATTTTTATGGATAAATATTACTTGCAAGTAAATTTCTTCAAAAATTACACTGTATGTTAAATTTACTATTCCAATATTGTATTCAAATTTGTTACTCAATGAAAATTCAGTCTTGTAAAAATGTTACGTCTTCTACAGGGATGGAGTTATCACTGCCCCCTGTAGGATGAAATTTTTGTGTTATTTTGGAGCCCCACCCTGGCTTTTGCCGTGAGACCTAAATATAGCCTGACGGCTGAAAGGGGGTTCCGGATCATTTCCACGGGTGTCCCTCATACGCATAGTGATAATTTGTGTCACCAGGTATTTATCGCTTGTGTGATGTCCTAGTGGGGTACAACTTACCTACCTACCATCTTCTACAGGGAGCAAACTTACTGACATTTGAGTCAAGGATTAATGTAAGATCTTCTCAACCACTCAGGGCTTGCTTACCTTGATCCATTCTTTGCTCAATTTCTGCATAGCTTCCTACTGGCACCTTTTTAAGGTCTTGTACGTAAAACATGCCCAGTTTGGGATTCTGCCGCACAGGAAGTCCCTCCTTTAAGGCTATCCTTCGACAGAAGGTCACGAACTTGCTCGTTGTAAATCTCCAGCATGGAGAACGTCACTTGAAATCGCTGTGTTGAAAGAAAGACACTTAGAAATTATGACACAATAAGCCGACCTCCATGACAGTGTAAAGGAGAAATTAGTTTAAAAAAAAAAAAAAAAAAAAAAAAAAAAGTTAAGATCCCTTTTCACGCCTTAGGCGAATCGGACATGTGGGAAGAGAATTCCATAATTTTATTACAGACCAATCGGCACCAGGTGGGTAATGTGGTCAGCATTACGCCAGCCGTCTTTATTTTCCCAGGACAGCCATCCTGATACCCATTTTGGGCTGGGTCGACCTGCGATAAAAATCCACGCAGCCAGCCATGGGTTTCGATCGCGGTATGGTGGAATTACGAGTCGGACTTGCAACGCCTCAGCCACGAATGCCGCTAAAGAATGGGGAAAAAAAGCTGAAGATTCTTAGAGAGAAAAAAACCGCTTTTGGTGACTAGAAACATCCTGTTTTATTCGTTTCATGGTGGGGTTTATACGGTCGTCAAGAATATGTCTCACAGACAGACACGCCTTTTCTCTTCGTTAAACAGGAGTATACAGTATCCAAAGCTTTTGAGGCACCTCTTTTTTTTTCCAGCAATGCTCACTGTAGTGAGTACCGACGCATTTTGTTAGACACTTTATAACTAAAAAAAAGATTCCTTTTCTCTGCCTTTAGGTGTATTAGGAATAAAGGGGTAGACCTATATTTTCATAGACCAATCGGCACTTGGTGGGTGATGTGATCTGCCTTTACTTCCCAAGAAATTTACAGGATATTTATTCAAGGCTGGGTCGACCTGGGAAAGAAGGTCCGGCAACATCAGGAACTGAAACCACTTCCTTCGGATTCGCAGGCGAGCGTCTAGCAGCTACGCCACGGCGGCTCCTTTCCACATAATATTTCCTCTTTGAAACAAAATGTCCCTGGTGATCAACTGTATTTGAAGTTGACAACGCAAATATAATCAGCAAACAAACTGGTCACTCTACAAAGTAAAGTTGTGTTTCTTTACTTCGGTTTTTTTTTTTTTTAACAACACTTTCCAATTGAGATCTTCACCTCTTTTGTGATTTCAGTGCTAAGTTATGAATGCGAGAGTTGGAAAGCTACCACAGCTCTAGATAGAAAAAAAGGGGATAATTTTGAGAACAAATGTCTTAGAAATATACTAAATCTCCACCTGACAGATTTCAGATTCATTATGCAAAGAAGACAAGAGACCAAGCAAGATAACATCCAATTTTATATGAGAGCGCCTCTGGAACTACATCGGCCATGCAATCAGGATGGATAAGACAAGACTTCACCCACATCAAGCCCTTATATGGACACCGGAAGGGAAAAGAAAACGGGGAAGACAACGAGAGACTCCGCGTAGAACCATCATCAGGGAAGGCGCAACCATGGGCCTAATGAACATCCAAGACGTAAAGCAGGTGCAATGAACAGCTAGACATGGAAAGCTAAGACCTCCTATGCGCCGTCCTAGGCTCAAGAGAACTAACTAACTAACTAACTAACTAACTAACTAACTAACTACTAACTAACTAACTAACTAACTAACTAACTAACTAACTAACTAACTAACTAACTAACTAACTAACTAACTAACTAACTGATGTCCCAGTTGACTGTTAGGAAACACAACAATCATCTGAAAGGCTAGAAAAGATTACCTTGTTAGGGTCCTTGTTGGCGCCCATTGCCTTGAACAGTTCATCACATGTGATTGGGACAATGCCTCTGTTTGAATAAAAAGATCATTGAAGATACGAGCTTAGCCTGTTCCATGAATGGTATGCAGCGTTCACATATGTCTGCAGGGGACAGTACTGCAATCATCAAAGTTTTGTTAAAGAATATGCTGTTATCATCATTTTATTCGTCGTTGTCTTCATCGGCATCAGCAACCTTGAATTATTCATAGCAATCTTTTTCTTCTTTTCTCTACTCCTAAAATGCCTCATGGCGTCAGGGCATGAAGCGATCTCTCGAACGGGTCTTTCTGTTCGCTCCCTATAGTCCTTTTCAGTGTTTCTGATATTTTTGCTGTCCACATTCTGTGTGGTCGACCTCTGGCTCTGTTACAGCTGTATCTGTATAACATTGCTCTCTGTGGTGCCCTGTCTGATGCCAATCTTGTTACATGGCCAAACCATTTGATTTGTTGTCTAGCTAAAAAGCATTGACGCCAATAATATTATTTATTTATAAAGTTGTTACTGTATTCAGTACGACCGTCTGGTGTTTCAACGAATGTATGAAATCCGCCCGTTTGGTAGGAGATCTTACCTATAGCTTATATATGGTCTAGGGCTTATAAAGAGTATTTTGAAAAATCATGCCAGGGCTTTTTTTAGGGTTATGTCTTTTATCCCCCGGGTAAACACGGTAGATGCGAAACCATTGCAAAGAGCATAAAATCATCAAGTGCTTAACACTGGAGACTCGTTCGGTCCAAAGGAAGGCATTTTACATCGCTGACCGCATCGCGCAATGGCTTGCCGGTAGACGACCTCGTTGCCGGTGGGGACAGTATTTGGATCTGTCTCCTTTGATGGCATCAACACTGCAGGAGTCCTCTTCAGAGATCTTCTTAAAGTTCTAACTTCGGGGATGCTGGTTGAAGGTAACGTGTGTTTTTTTCTTTTAACCTGTAGCTAAGAAAATATTTATTTTTGGTAATGCCCCGTCACCATTTTCAAAAGCCAGCGCAAAGTTGCAAAACTAGTCGTGGTTTCATTATAAATGAGTCATTACTTTCCTATGATCAGTGAGCGTTTATCAAATCCGCTGGCCTCTCCTATTCGTGTTATTTAATTTATATTATTAGTGCTGCATCTTTGAGATGCTCTTTGCAGTTTGGTTATCGCTCTTCCTTTGCTATCGACTGCCAAATCATCTAGAAGCGATAAAACTTCGACTTTACCAACCAAGCTTAACGATCAAACATTTAAGAATGTGTAAGACTTTTGGCTGAAAAAAAAAGAAAGAAAAGAAAAAAAAAACAGTCCAATAATGTAAGCGAGGTGCAGTCAACAGTACAATAAACTAGAACATAAAGGCTTACTTGTTAGGTCCGTAGCCAACCATGGAATATGACTTTCCTGATCCCGTCTGGCCATAGGCAAACAGAGAACAGTTGTAACCTGAGAGTGGCAGACATATTACAGACATTAATGAACTAAACTACTGATGCATCTGTTTTATTACGTGATATACATTCACGAAGAAATGTGTGTTGGTCATGGGCATGTAAGTATGTATGTATGTATGTAAGTTGTACCCCACCAGGACATCACACCAGCGATAAACACCCGGTGACACAAAGTGAAACCATGCGGATGAGAATCACCGTGGAGAGATCCCGGAAACCCCGTTCAGATGTTAGGTTTTATTTCAGGCCTGGCTATATTTAGGGCCCCAGATAAAAGTCAGGATGGGGCTTCAAAATAACTCAAAACTGCATCCCACAAGTGGATGGAGAGTGCAACAGTCGTTAGTAATGAACAATGACAATTGCTCACAGAAGTCAGCTTCATGCCTCAGAAATGAGGTATCTGAGAAAGGTGGTCCAAGTGACAAGAAGGTACAAAGTTCGCAGTCAGAGTCTACGTCATGACCTTGAAACCCAGGGCTTACAAACCCGAGTGGATCCGTCACAGTTGCGATGGTTTGGCCATGTATGAAGAATCTGAGAAAATCGGCTTCCGTGGCAGGCATGGTAAGCTAAGAACCAGGGAATAAGACCCCCCGGGGTTCGCTGGGAAGACTACATCCGACAGGCTCTGATTAATAGAGGACTCGAATGGAACAAAGCCAAAAAGCAAATAGCTGATAGAGAAGTCTGGCGATCTTTCTGGCAAACCTCTACACCCCAAGGTAGAAGAGGAGCGACTAAATAAGTAAGCATTTACCCAGAAAACACACACACACACACAAACAGGATGTCACAAATAGCAATACATGGAGAAGATGAACTGGGAAAGGAACTGGGACAAAGTAGTAAAAGACTGCAGACAGGTTTAAAGCTGAGCGTCCGAGAAGAAACATGTTCCGCAAAATCTAATGGAATTTTAAACAAGTATTGTGGAAGATTCTTCTCAATTTCGGACACCCTAGTGACGTGATTCCTCACTGCCCCATTTGAAACTTCCTAGAAGGTTACAGCATCAGTGATATCATATTTAGTCAGAAAGAAACATTGCACATTCACTCACATACAAATTCACAACTGGGTACTCACCTTCGAAAGCATTTCGGAGAACACCCTGCCCCAGGTCCTGAAACACCTTGAGCTGGCTGGCATAGTTTGAGCCTGGTTTGGCATCCATGATACCGTCGTTTCGAACCGTGAAACCATCATGAGACCTATTTCAGATGTTTGCATGTTTTTAACATCACCAATGTGAAAATGGTAGGCTGTAGAGGTGGCGCCTTTATTTTTATATTTCACAAACAACGACAAAAATCCCTAAGTTTTCGGGAAGACCCAATAGTCTAAGGGTGTTATGGGTTGAGGTTAGGGTCAGGGATAGGATCTTGTCAGCTCTGACCGTCTGAGATACAGCCACTAACCCCCACACCTAACTCCAACCCATAAGACCCATCGAATACAGGTCTTTCCCGGAAATACCAGGATTTCCTTTGTTTGGCTTGAATTAACAATAAAGTACCCAGAGACGTTGAACCAAAACATGGCCGTGCACAAGGTCGATCTATACCTCTCGATGGTGACTCTAGACACAGGTTACCGAACACGCACCAGTCAGCGCGTGCAAGGCATCGACGTTTTCCTTTCAAGTCGGCGTCTACTTGCCTGTGAAACTAGGAACCAGCAGTCTGCACACACAAATGGTAGGTGTGTAAACCGGATGAACACGCAAACCTCATGGAACTCGGTCAGATTCCAAAAGTTGGTGAAAAACCAAGACTTAGCAGCCAGAGAAGACGCGAAGTATGAGTAGATATGAACATTTAAACCAGAAAGGACATGGAAATAGCGGCAGCCCTATATTTAATTAGAAAGCATCAGGTGAAATGGTTTGGCCATCTTGATTGGTTAGCTGTTACTCTCGTCTTAAGTGACGATGACGAACCCTTCCCCGAGTGATTTAACAGATTGGCCATCATGTGGGAGACATGGGTTCGATCTTCGGTAAGGAGAGGGATATTTTACATGGGAAGACAATAACAAAAAAATACCACAATATCCTAACATGCAAAGTTCGTAGCAACGTTCCTTGCCATGCGACCTTAAATCCGGAGGTTTACGACCTACTGCTACATCTAAATACAGGCATCGAAGCCATTTTAGATAAACTTAATCTTAACACAGAATATTCTTTCGTAGTTTGGGCCACATCAGTTGGGGATTCAGTTCATTGTCTTTTCTATTCTTCGTAGAGGTTTTCATAGCACCAGGGAAAAGGCACCTTGTGATGAGTTCGACAGGAATAGATGTTTGTGGGAATTGTTTGGGGAAAAAAGGGAATCAGCAATCAATCTTAATTATTATTTGCAAAAGCTTGATACATCCTGTAGTAAAGCTGCATAAAGAATTGAAAGGCGAGGAATTGTAACTTATGAGTGAGCTCTGTGTGGGGCAAGCAGTGGGCAGGGGGGCTGGGGTGGAGGTGAGCAGTGGATTGCCGGGGCTTGGAAAAAAAATTAAACAACTATCGCATACATGGATACCATATGTAGTGGTAACGAAACTTTAATCATGACGAAAGATTTTACAGAATTACTTTTCGCGGGACTATTCAGTACTCTTAGGAAAGTACGGAATGCCTTCCAACCCCAAATGAATTTTAACAAAGGGGAAAAAAAATTGAAAAAAAAACACTACAAGACAGGAAATGGTGATGGGGAAGAAGAAACTTTAGAAAAAAATTAAAAAACGCCCTAAGACACACAGAAAAATTAAATTATTCGAGAGCAATTTTCACACCCGATAAAAAACTGGACAGATAAATTAGCTCGAGATTGCCAAAGAAATGTATTTACGTCCTTTTTGGGAGTATTTTTTTGTTTTTGAAGTCCCCCCTGGCTTTTTCCAGGGGCCCAAAAAGGCAGGCCCTAAAAAAAATGCTGAAGTGGTTTTCTGGGACCCCCTCCACGGTGCCTCCCAATGGTGGCATTTTTGTGTCATCGGGTGTTTTTCGCCCGTGTGATGTCCTTTGGGGGGTAGAAAGTCAGTAAGTCAGCCCCAAAACAAAAGTACTGTAATGGGGAGATACCACGGAATACTAAAGTGGGAATTTTATCAAAAATTTTTTTTGGGCCCAACATGCTGCAGTGCCAAAAAGTAGACACTTATATTCTAATGAAAGTAAAATTGGGACAACAGAGTAAAATTGCACTAGAAGCGCTTCAGAGTTGAGGAAAGACAGAAAAAGAAATCAAAAATTTTAGGAATAAACAGTCTTTTCAGGTCATAAGAACAAAAGAAGTGTTTTTGGGCACTAACAAAAATTTTCCCTTTATATCCACCACGGGGCCACACTAAAACGTTACACGGGTATAAGCAAACGGAAACCTCGCAAAAATGGAGTGATGGCATTTAAAAAAAC